AGACCAGCGTGACTATGTGACAGGAGTGGACACCGCGTTTTATCAGGCCTTATTTTGAAACTTGCGAAGTCTGTATGGTTATTGCACAGGCTTGCTTACTCGTTTGATCCAGGTGCAAAGATCTTTCAAATGAAAAAGGGTAGTGAGTTCTCTGATTCATACATGGAAAGTGTTTTGAAGAACATAGTTGTGGATGAAAAGGGATAGAGCCCAAGTGTTGGTCTTATGGTGATGCCTGGGTTTTGGATTGGTGGAAGTGTGATTCAGAGCCGAGTTTATGTCTCAGGTGTGAAGGTCGTTGAGTGAAAGGAGATTATGGTCTTGTCCTAAAGCTTCCTACTATGTTGTGAAACTTTATATTTCTACTTGTTATAAATTATAATTTCAGTTGTGCATGTAATTGTTCAGAACTCATAAGCAAAAGAGATTTGTTATCCCAACCAAAAAGAAGTTTATTATCATATACTCCATATGTTTCAAAATAAGTGTCATTCGACCATTTTTTTCTTGTTACAAAATAAGTGTCACTTTATATTCCCAATGCAATTTTTTACACATAATTTCTTTCTTATCTTTTTAACCAACCAATAGATGTTTTTAAAAATTATTTATATTTAAATAATAATACATTTAATGAGGATAAGTTAGTATATTTTCTCATTTTTTAATATGTGTGAAATATGTCAAAGTGACACTTATACTGAAACGGAGAGAGTAGTATATATGTTGGCCTAATGTTGTTAAGACATGAATGTCTCATATCATAATGTGTTGCCCAAAAAAAATGGTATCATAAATGTTTTTTGGTGTAAATATTAAAATTTTATCCAAATTTGCAATTTTGACAAGACAACAAAAATTAGTAGCGGAAATGACCGAAAACTAAACAACGAGGTAAGAAAATTAAAAGCAGCATTGAAAGAACTAACAGCTAGCAAACATGAAAAATAGTTAAGAACATGTTCAATAGGAAGTTCTTAGCAGAATATAAGAACCTGCTTTTAAAATTTTAACTAAAAAAAAAGATAAAAATCTCCTACTAAACATGTTTTATATCCGCTTGTAACTTATAACTGGTCATAAACAAAAAGAATTTTTTAAAACTATAATTTTAAGATAGATGTTTAGAAAAAAAAAATTTCATAAATATTACTCTATCTGTTTCATTATAAGTGTCACTCTACAGCTGTGCACACGGATTAAAGAAATAATTAATTTTATATATTTTTTATATAATAACACAGTTACCTATACATCTAACTATATTTTAACCAATAGAAAAACTAATTACAGAATAAAATTAATAAATTTTGCATTGAAAACAAAAAACGACATTTATTTTGTAACGCAAATAATTCTTTACAACGACACTTAATATGTTACGGAGTATAAAATGTTGATACTTTGTCTGCAACAATTGTAAACTTCAAAAAAAAAAAAATTGAAATTATTAATTACCAATAGTCAAAAGTTAATGAAAAACACTCGTAATTTGCAAAAATGATGCATTTAATAACAGTGATCTAATGTGTGTTGTGCGAAAGTACTACAAAAGTTATCTTCAAGAAACAGAGGTAGTATCAGCTATCATACGTTACGAAGTTTAGATTTTGACAAGATACCGATTAAACTTGCTATCGATCATGTTTTTAATTTTTTTAACTATGGGACCAATTTGTTAGCTTAAACAATTTATTAACTCAAGTAAAAATATTTCTGATAATAATTATGTTCTTAGAAAGCAAAAAGAAATATATATATATCCTTTACTAAACGAGAAAACAAATTACCTTGGTATTATTTGATTTTTAGATGTTTCCTGAAAATTAAAACAGTGTTCATTTTTGTGAATAAGAATTAAAGCGGGATCAGCTGAAAAGTACTATGATTACTTGAAAATTACGACAAGCTATCAAACTCGAAATAGTCTATACATGTTCTTCTTTCAAGTTTTCTGTATATTTATTTTAAAATTAGAATCTTCAATGTCGAGCCAAAACACTAAGCCTAATTCCTTTGTGTTTGAAATTGGCCGGGAGAATTATAATGTTATGCAATATAGTTACTAATTGCTTAATTGAATTTTCAGCAAAAAAATTCATAGGTCAACTAAAGACATGAATAATTTATCTAGAATCTACTTACAAATATAAAATTTGGTTTTAGAACCGTAAAACATTAGACCAAAATTCATTTACAAATCCATGCTTGGGTGTTGTGTCATATAAGATAGATGTTCATATAGTGTCACTGTCACTTAGGCATGGACGTTTTTACCCCAACTCAAAATACATATCTAAACTCGAACCAAAAAAACTAAAATCGATCTAAAACTTTATATAAAATTATCTGAATAAGATTTATGAACTTAGTACTATATAAAATATCAATTTTTGAGATTTAAAAAATATATTTTTGAACGATTTTAAACATTGGTTACATCCGATCTATACCAAACCTGAAAAGAATCAAACCGAATCCAATCCGATAATTAGTCAAATCCGAATGAGACTTCTGAACATAACACTAAAATCTGAAAATACAAATTACCCGGACTAATACCCAACGGGACAACAAACGCCTAGACCCTACTGCCACTAACGAATTAAAATATATAGAATTTGTAGATGTGAAAATGTTGCTACGTAGTCTGATAGCAACAAAACGAACACTTGTAATTACTATTAAAATCATCAAATAAATCTTATATCACTGACAAGTAATAGTAATAGCAAAAAAAAAAAAAAAATGAAACTTAGTTTAAAACCAATTTGCTACCAAACAAAAATAATAATTACAATTGTTCGTTTTGTTGCTACTATCAAACTACGTAGTACTTTGCAAGATTTCCTCATCTTTCACTAAATCCAGCCACCACTGACCTAGAAGTCTATTTGTTGTAGTTTTTAAACCATATATTGTAATTAAGAGGAATTAATCACAACTACACAATATGAAATGATAACTATAGAGGACAAACCGAAGACAGCCAAACAAAGTCTTTGCGGGCCTCAAACGGAAACTTCAATTATAAGAAATGAATACCTTATACTAAACTTATGAAAATCGAATCTTCCATTTTATTAGTTAAAATGATAAATTTCAATTTAATATATATTCGTACGTCCTTTTTGATAACGAGGTTTTAACGATCTTCAGTCTATTATCGCTACAGCTGCTTGCTTGTATTCTTTTTCTCTTGCGTAAGAATTTGAAAAACTAATGCGTTCATATACATATTTGTATATAGTTATTACATAGATCATATGTGCACTTGCAGCATATACATGCATATGAAAATAGGAGTTGATTGCTTATACTATATATCTTATTGAACATGACTGGTGTAGTTGCACTTGCACCAGAAAACATGATTGGATCGTTTAATTATTACATAGATCGTTTTGTTCACCAGAAAACATTAGGACGGTGATACTTGTCATTGCGTACGTAAAATTAATGTGTCCCTATGGATGTAATAGAAAAAAGTGTCCTTGCTGAGGTGAGAAATGTCGTCAAAGACTCAAAAAACATAGTTGTTTTTAGTATTTGTAAGTATATCAATGATGTAATTTGGTCAAAATAGTATTTAATTTGTGATAGTGCTCAATTTGGTGATTACCTCTTCATACATTGCTTTTATTTTAAATTTATTCTAAAGAATAAATCTCTATGGATAATCAATGAGAAGACTAATTAACGTCCAGAGGTCAAATCACTTTGTTATTTCATGGTCAGATGAAAAAGACATGATAATTCAGGTCGTTGCCAATAAAATAAGTAACGTTT